TCCCCAAAGTGCTTAAACTATTTTTTTTTTTTCAAGCTAGAATGCAAAGAAGCCAAAAGCTTTTCTTCCAGCTGCTTTACAGTTAGATGTTAGTTGTTTTGTTTGTTTTTTTTTTACTTAAAGGCCTGATGATTTGCAACAAGAGCCATTTTTTTCAGGGTCAGGGCACAGACTTATTTGTTTTGTTGGTATCTTCCAGTATCTTGTGTCATCTTCTGTATGTTCTCCACTGAGAATGGCTTGCATATTTTGGCTGCACAAACTGCAGTTTCTCTTGGGGAAGGGGGAGGAAGGGAAGATGTAGATAGATAATTGCTTAGCATTTTCCTTATTTTGAGTGGAAGCATGAGATTATTTACTATGGGATTAAATCTTGCTGCCAAACATGCCTGCTCCCTTTGGTCAGCTGATCCCTCAAGGTAAGGAAAGTACTGATTTAGCATGAACCCTCTCACTTTGTATGAAAAGGGAAACCTCAGCAGAGGTGCTATTTCATAAACTCTGGCTCAGTCATCCCTAGGCTGAATTCCCACTAAATGATTTATAACTGAAGTATTTCTACTATTGAAATACATGTATTTAATTTATTTATTTATTTATTTATTTATTATTTGTGAAGGGAGTTCTGTTATGTTCATTTAAGAGCAGTACTGCTGTTCTAAGGGTATGTGGCATAACCCAGAGTTTTCACTAATAAAACTGTTCCATTGCAACATGCAGTTGAGGTTTTTGTGGAGTGATTCCAAGTTTGTTTCAGGAAAGAAAGTAAAATCCTGGTGCTTAAAACTGCTTGGGTTAGAATGGTAAAACAGGACTAAAAGTTCATGCAGAAGTGATCTAAGCTATGCAGAGCTTTACAGTCACAGTTTTCAGCATCATCTTTCCCTTCAAGTTTTAACAATTATAGTAAATTTTTATCTATTTTTTTGGTTTCTAGAGCTTTGTGACTCCTTCCATAAATACTATACGCAATGTTAAAAAAGCACTTGGTACAGTTTAAACTCTTAAGAGTTTCTGTGAAAGCCCTGATTTCTCAGAAATAAAATTAGAAGTTACTTTCCATTGCAAACATTTTTAGGTAGTTAATTCTCGATTTCTTTTACAGGCAAGAGAAATTATTTTGACTAGGGAAAAAATAACTGCTGCAGCAAAAACAATTTTTTTTTTCCTTTGTAATATGCGGTTTTCAAAACTGTGGAAAAGATGATTATTGCAATCAGCTTGGAATTTATCATGAAGTTTACTGCTTAAGAGTTGAAAGCCACCATATACTCTGAGAGTATTTATACTTCAGTAAGTGCACTTGGTTCAAATGCATCCAGACTTCTTTTTTTGTGCCTAACTGCCTGAAGACTAGAGATCAAGATGTCTTTGTAGTGACCAAACCGAGTCATCTTTTGGTTTAATGTGGTATTTTTTAGCATTGCTTTCTCCAAAGAGCGTAAGGGTATTAGATGGCCAGATCTCAGTGGCTGGCAGTCAGGCTTTTTGCTTTTGAAGTTCTCGTGTGCATCTCTCACTTACATCTCCAATACGTGTCCATGTCTGAGGCTGTGGGCTTTCATTTTGTTTCGGTTTAGCATGAGAAATGGGGAGGATTTGATCTCTTTGAAGACAGAAGTCTCCAGACTTTGAGAGGGTAAAGGACTGATGTGATGTAACGCTTGTCTTGAATGACATCCATTCACTCATCTTCTGTCTCCTCTCTTGTGGTTCCTTTTATGTTGGATTTCTTTAACTCAGTCCTGCACCATTCTTTTTTTTAGCATCTCCCTTCTCATTTTAGCCTGTCGCACAATTAAGAATAATCCTGGCACAAAGCCATCTATCAGACACAAGTGAATTCTTTGAAAAAGCTTTTTTCACATCTGGATTGGAAAATTGTGAAAAATGTGTATGTTGCTGAGAGAATTTCACTCTCCTGGAAATGTCTTATTTCAGCTGTAACTTATTACCCAATAGTTGCTGAAACCAAATATATAGTATAATGAAGCCTGGCTGACGCTTTCAGTTTTTCCACATGGTGTACTAATCTGGAAGTTGTTGTGATGTCCTAGGGGCTGGGGTGTGAAAGATAAGAATTAACACTGTTAGAGAAGACGGTGTTAATTCTGAATTACACTATTATGGAAAATTTATTAATGTAGCAGCTGTTTTTTTAATGTATTCATTTTCTTATTGGAAGTGGCTTTGCTAATTACTTTGGTATTTTATTTTTTTTTTATTGCTTATGCTTATTGCAGATGCCTCGAAGTACTCATGTGTACTGCTTTGCATAATTCTCCTCCTTCCCTCCTGTCCCCATTTTGCTGAGTCAGCTTTGTTTATCGTAACTCTCATATTAGCAATATGAGCACAACTATTTACTTTTTAGTCCTTCTGAGGGAGTTGGACAGGTATAGGAGGAACTAGCTGCTGGAAGTTGCTATCTGAAAAGCTCTTTTTCCTTTCCTAACTCTTTCCTACTTAGAGCAATCAAATACCCTTTCAGTGCTTCTGCTTTAGGGTTGTTTTTCTGGTTTACAGCCTAAGTCTACAGTGAGTACTTGTTTCCATTATTTGCATTAAATAATCTTAATAGTTGTTACCCTTGATGTATTTTTACATAGACTCAGTATCGTATGACACAGCAGATCGAGTGATGTGGTTACTCCTGACTGCTCAGCTACTGCTACATATGAAGTACTTTGTCGGGTTATGTCCCCCTCAGCCCAATAAAGATCCTGACAAGCAGAAGTGACTTCAGTGGACAATCACCAGGTTGACCTGAAATTATGACATTAACAGTTGGGCTCAGTGATCTTTTCCAGCCTAAACAATTCTATGCTTCCGTGTACAAAGGGAAGCCAAGAGCAGGGTTTGTTCCACATGAAGGAGGTGAGGTAAAAGAGAGATCTAATCGCAGTCTTCGGCTACCCCTTCAGTTCTTAGAAGGTGGATTGAGTCAGACTCCTCCTAAAAGAGCACAAGTGAAAACAGCCAGAGACTGAGCAAAAGAAAAAACCAACCAGATAAGAGAACATAGTTTCTCGGTCAAGGTGTGCAGCGAGGCTGTGCAATCTCCTTCATTTGAGACAACGAGCACTTGATGGGCAAGGCCCTGAGCGACCTGACCTAACTTTGTACTTGGCCCCGCTATGAGTATCAGGTTAGACTTAAATGACTTCCAGGGGTCCCTTTCTTCCAAATTTAGTCCATGATTCTAGGACCCCTTCTAATTGACATTAGACAAGCTGAGCCAACTGATCATAGAATCATTTTGGATGGAAAAGACCTTTTAAGATCAAGTCCAACTGTTAATCTAACTCTGCCAGACCCACTTCTAAACCATGTCCCTGAGCGTCATGTCTAGACAGCTTTTAAACACATCCAAGGATGGTGATTCAGCCACTTCCCTGAGCAGCCTGTTCCAGTCTTTGATGACCCTTACAGTGTAGAAGTTTTTCCTAATGTCTACTCTAAACCTTCCCTGAAGTAACTTGAGGCCATTTCCTCTGGTCTGATTGGTTATAATGTGTGTGAAGAGACTGATCCCCACTTCTCTATAACCTCCTGTCAGGTAGTTGTAGAGAGCAATAAGCCTCCTTTTCTGCAGGATCAACAACCCCAAGTCCCTCCGCTGCCCTTCATAAGACTTATTCAGACCCTTCACCAACTTCAGTGCCCTTCTCTGGCCATGCTGCAGCACCCAAAATTGAACACAGGACTCAAGGTGCAGGCTCCCGAGTGATGAGTACGGTGGGACAGTCACTGCCCTGGTCCTGCTGGCCACACTTCCTGATGCAGGCTGGGATGATTGCTCTTAGTCTCTTTTATGATAAGCTACTGAAAATTTAAAAGGAGGTTTTTTTGCTTGTCACTCTTCAGATCTTGTCCATCTGTGAACTGAACAGAACTGGATCATTTGATCCAGGTGAAAATTCATCAGGGTCTTCTATAATCAACATCTCTCTTAAAAAATGCCTTGTCTGTTGCAGCCTTTCATGATATTTAAGAAATGCATTTGCTTGGCATCCTACAACCATCCTGACATGGACTAATACGGGCAGATCTTTCTTATTTCTTCAGGTCCTCTTGATGATAACATACTCTCATCTCCGAAGTGTGATGAGATGTGGGATCTCATCATGCTTACTGGTGAGATCTCAGTATAAAACAGAAGTTCTTTAGTCTCCATAGACATGCCCAGCATTTCTTAGAACTGAATTTCATATAAAAGGCTGTTATTTCATATATAGTCTCTGGTATTGCTCAGTTCCTTCTCATGTATTACTACTAAATGTGTTAGTGATGTACTGTAACTGTGCCAGTATTAAATTTCAGTGTATTATGCCTATGGGTAGTAGATTTATTCACTGAAACAAAGGTGGCAGCAGAGATTCTGCTCTGAGCCAAATGACTACATGGATTTCCAAGTATAAGTGAATGAGTAGGGTTTTCCCCATTGGCTAGTTGGAGACTTACAGATACGTTGCACACTGCATTGTAATAAATACTGTCAAAGCTCTACTCTGAACTGCTAAACCAAGAAGTTTTTTGAAGTCTAGATAGGCTTACAATGAAAAATTAATTTCAGGTAAAGGTGAGGCAAAAAAAACCAACTGTGAAGGCAAACTGATATATGCTGACTTATGGCAGAGAGTCAAAAGGACTTGATTTAAATTTTATAGGATTTGCTTCAAAGCCATTTTAAGATAACTAGAGAAATATTTTTATTGAACTGTAAAGCTTTGAAGTTCCCTCTGAGATGGATAGAGCATGCTGTAGCTAATAGTGGTCATCTGAGCTTCACAGAAACTGTTGAGCATCTTGGTTTGCTCTTTGGATTTCTTCTGAATGACCAAGAAAACCAGGAAATAGTTAATGACTTGTGCTGTTAAAAAGTAATAATAGTGAACAGATTTTAAATTATAAACATCATCTTTTTCCAAAAATGAACTTTGGATGTTGCTGGAGAACAATAAAAACTTAATTTTTCATAAATGCTTTCTTTTTAACAGATTATGGAAGAAACAAATACACAAATTGCTTGGCCATCAAAGTTGAAGATTGGAGCAAAATCAAAAAAAGGTATTTTGTTTTTTTTTCTTTTTATGGGGTGAGTTTAGTTTTTAAAATAGTATAATCACAGAATAAACAATTCTGTCTTCAGAGTCACCATATCAATACTGGACATCTGAAATGTTTTCATTTCCATCTGCTGTTTTTGTAAGAATTTCTTGTTGATGTTCTCAACTTTATGTCAGTATTTGATGTACAAAACAAATTTTAACTTGCACTACTCACTGCAAGTACTTCATTATACATTCATGCAAGTACTATTGTATTTATGGTCTTTAGTGTGTGTGTTTTTCTTCTTTATAATACTGCATCTAGTCTGAACATTTTTTTTTATTATTTTACAGCAGCCAAAGTCAGTCTTTCTTGTAGAGTTGTAGATTAGTGAGTGTTCTGTGGGGTTTTTCTGTTTGTTTCTGTAGAGTGCGAAGATTTGTGTTGGTCAAGCCAAGTCAAATCAGTACTCATTGTGTCTCTGACAGACAGTCTGCGTGCTCTTTTGGGTTCTTTAGGAAACCTGAGTAGAGATGTTTCTTCTGCGTGGTCTGTATTAAGTCTTAAATTACACTTCTTTTGAAAGTACAGTCTATTAAGGTGAACCACGTGTACAATCTGGAATATCTCTTTTTTGAAATAAGCCTTCTAGTTCTGTTCTTAAAGAATCTTTTCAGCTATGGCTGAAAGTAATACTTAATTCCTCTTCTGCAGGAAAAATGAAATTGGAAGTGATTTGTAACATTGTATGTATTTCTACTCAGGCTGATATATATTAAAAACCAAGAAAATGGAGTTCGAATAATTTCTCTGTAGTTTGCATTTAGAATGTATAGGTAGGCATGTGGGCTAACAACCTTTGTAAAATGAAGGAGGTCTCACGGGAAGAAAAATAATCTCTTTAGAAAGGTGGAGGATTCATAATGTTTTTGTGGTGTAAAGTGAGATTGGATCTCTGAGATATTTTTCCTACATGGTATTGAGGTACAAATGGGTTTATTTTTTTTCCCCCCTCCACTTTCATGGAAAAAGAATTTCACTTGAAAGGTGAAAAATGGGGAAGGAATTCAGACTGGAAAAAGCAGGTGTGTTGTGTATATATATATTCCTATGTGGAACTGAAGTTTATGTTAATGCACGAATGACGAGGTCTCTGTGCAAACCTGTGCTCTGCCTGTGTTCTTCTCCATGAGTTCTGCCCGAGGTGCTATGACCTGACACACAGCTAAAACTCCTCAGGAAACAGAGGCGGAGAGTTTTTCTCTTGAGGGGAGAAAAGAAGAAATAAAGCAGTGCCTGCACTTGTTTTCTCTCAAGTTTAAATGAGCCTAGTTCTGAAGATGAAATGCATGGATGAAAGGCCACAGAGGGAGTGATTAGAGAAAGGACTGGCCAGATTTTGGGATTGGTACTTGCTGATGCAACTTTATATGTAGATTATTTTTACCTCTTTATTAGCCATCTTGAAGATAATGTTAGGTTTGTGTAAAGCTCTATCAGTTTATATATGACTACCAGGGGAAATACCCAAAAGTTGTGAGCTGATAATAAACATAAAAATTGAAGGGAGGGAACACATCGTACAACTGGACATACTAAATGTTTCTGCAGTGAGAGTGATTATCCTGGAAAGTGTTTATGCCAAAGGAAGCTTTAGAGAATGATGGGCTGCCAAGTAGGCATTTTAGCAATATGGTATATTATTAAATAAGATTTTTCAGATGCCTGTGGACTGCAGCGTAGCTCTAGAGTTAAGACTTTTACTCTCTGACTAGCTTTGGTCTGGGAAGCTGTGTGTATATATACACCTAAGATAGTAAATTACAATATGTGTACAAAGAACCCCTTAAGCGAGAGGTTCTTACTCTTGTGAAATTGTGTAGTTTATATATTCTGTTTACACTTGGTATCAATTGTTTGCAATTCTGTAACTTTCCATTTACAGCTACCGCAGCTGTTTATATAGGGAAAATATTCCAAGTGTTTAACATACTCTAGCTTCACTTAATGACATTTTGTGATTGAGAGGAGAGTCTGCAACAAAAAACTGCCTGGCTCTCCATGGACTTGAACTCACAACGTGCTCTCGGCTGGGAACTGAGTGCCCAGCACGCACTCATTCAGTGAGGGAGAAGCACTCGCAGACTGGAAGTCTTGTACGGCAGCCACACTCTGTACCCTGTCATCGACGACTGGCACCGGCTTTGTCATATAATTTTCCAGTGTAATTTGGCTGCAGTTCCAGTAGCTTCACATTCTGTGGATGTGAATTGTGGCCTTTGGTCATTCACAGTCCTCTCCCAAAACACGAGGGGACAAAACAATCCTTAGGAAGACATCTCTAGGTGTGCTGTTGTTTCTGTCATGTTGTTCGGTCTATCAGGAAACATTTAGGGCTTAATGTAGAGTTCTTCTCACTGCTGTTGTCAGTTTTTGAGATGCTAAACCAGTAAGGACAAAGTACAGATTTTCTTTCTAATTACGACACACAGACATTGCAATTTGCAAACAAGGCGTGTGTAGTAAGATTCAGCAAGTGTCTGAAGACTGAGTACCAGGCCCTTTTTATGATCTGGTGAGAAAATTGCTGTGATGAAGCGGAAGCACTAAGAGTAGATGACCTGCAAGTTGCAAAATCGATTCTTTTCTGTGTTATTGGATCACAGCTTTAAAATTGATGATTGCAAAATGCTATTTATTATCATAATTGTAACTTACTAACTCAGTAATGTTTTCTGAAATCTTTTGAATTGCAAAAATCTAGTGTCTGGATTTAGCATATGTGGAATTGAAAAAAAACCAAACTTGTGAATTAAAACTTATTGTTTAAATTGAAAATGCTAAAATAGCTCTTTGCAAAGGCTAGTATTAAAAGAAAAAATCAATAATCAACTCTCCATAGTTTCATAAGGAGCAAACCAAGTATTTCCTGGCTTTAATGAACACCAGATGTTGCACTCTTGCTCTCGTGATGATGAGGGGTAAAGTATTTGGAAATATATGTTTAGAAAGCACACAAACACATATAAATCTTCCCATAGCATCTTTGAGTAAGCCATTTGTTCAGATTCACAAAGAGATCCCATCCCATTAAGGCTTCTGAGAGGCAAGTGAAGTAACTTAATGCACTTGGGTAATGACCAGTTCTTGTCCAGCAGTAACGAAACAACCAGCACTGGCACGATCTGCTCTGCCTTGCCCGGGTGCCAGAGTTCAGGCACACCCCAGAACCTCATGTCCTGGAGGTTTCACATCTCCTGTAGTCCAATGAATTGACATTGAGAGATGGTAACTGTTCAATCCATTCCTATTTTGCTCTCAACATATTTTTTCACTCCATTATGGTACTGTTCCTTAGAAATGCTATTAATTGTCTTCTAAAGATGTATTCAGTGGTATAGAAGTTTAGTTTGCCAGTTCCTAAATGGTAAGATGCCATAGTTACACAAACACTTTCAAAGCAGACATAAGCTCACATTTTTTTTCCCCTCTCCCTTCCCAAAATGCTGACCTGGCCTGCTCTCTTGTTCTTGTTGTCCAGCCCTTTCTGCTGTGCTATCACCGGTGCTTAGAGTTTCACACAGGGGGACCAGGATGAGTTAGAACTAACCATGAGTAATGTTTACTATTGGAGGGGGTTGGGCTTTTTTTTTTTTCTTTGTGTACTTTTGCTGTCTGTGTTAACCCAAACTGTATCCTCAGTTTGCTTCACCATATGGTTGTATGAATCTGTAGTGCTTAATGCATCGAGAGCAGGTGAACATCATGTTATTCAGCAGCGGTGGTTGTTGGTGGTAGTTTAAGGTGCTTTATAGGCACTTGAGGAAATGGGTTTCTACGAGTTTAGATTTCACTCGTATTCATTACTTTTTCTTTCCTCCTTTTATTCCCCTTC